TGCTAAAGACCCCACTGGGTCATAGCACTCCCCAGCATGGCAAACCTGTCGGACTGTAGCTATTTGATGTACGTCATAGGACATCCTGTATCAGGGTTGACCCCACCATAATTATCCAGCAAGAGGGCTGGATCATGTTGGATACACTCAGTGCTGTGCCAAACTCACAACTGCAATCAATAAAGCTGTGGCCTAATTTGAACTCAAGATGCTTCTCTGAGTCCTTCAATTGTTGCGTGGGATAAGAGGCAGGCGGGTCACATTGGCTGGGCACAAAAAGTTGCATGAAATAAGTGGTGCATTATGATGTACAGTGGTACCTACAGTGGTACCTCGGGTTAAGTACTTAATTCGTTCCGGAGGTCCTTTCTTAACCTGAAACTATTCTTAACCTGAAGCACCACTTTAGCTAATGGGGCCTCCTGCTGCTGCTGCGCCGCCGGAGCACGATTTCGGTTCTCATCCTGAAGCAAAATTCTTAACCCGAGGTACTATTTCTGGGTTAGCGGAGTCTGTAACCTGAAGTGCATGTAACCTGAAGCGTATGTAACCCGAGGTACCACTGTACTGGAGTCCACATATGCACTTACTAGTGATGACCTTATTCTGACAACCATCACTTTCCACCCTGTGCCCAACATAGAGATCCAGAATATTCCTGCTTCGCGGAGAGAGAGGGGAATTTACATGCATCTCTCACTTCATGCCAGACTCACTTTTGTGAGGTGAGGGCAAGGATGCTACATTTTTCTTTATACCAGACACTGGGTATTAAGATCAGGAAGAGAGGCCCACCCTGCTTCTCACCTGTCTCCAAAGTGGGGGATCAGTCATACTTCTCCAAGGTCTCTGTGTGTGCCAGAGGATGAGGGTCAGCAGTGGCAGTAAATAGAGGCTAGTCGATAAGCCCAGCCAAAATGTGGAGATCCCTGAATTGCTTTTGCAACACTGGGATGTTGAATCTAGTTATACCGAAATAAATTACTGTGGCTGAAAGCTAGAGTCAGTAGAGGGAGCCTGTAAGATGCAACCCCATGGCGGCGTGATCCACAACTCAAGATTTGCCCTGAAAAAGCAAAGCATTGCTAAACATTTGGACCTGAGGAAGTGTAGCGGAGAGAAATGGCATTATTTTCCAAAATTTTAAAAACAGCATTAGCCAAATGAGATTGGCGCTTCCTGCCTTAGCAGGTGAGGGTTTATACTGTCTCAGAACCAATCCTAAATTCATATGCATCAGCTTAAGTTATAATATAATATCTAACTTGTAATATTGGCACACAGCGAGGAGATGTTTTAGTTCAGATTGCAGTAAGAAGAATTGCTTGGTCTTAATGTTGCATAACCATAGGCCCTGGTCCCTTCACCCCAAATAAAATATTTAGGGGGCAGCCCCTCACATATTGGCCACAAGTTGGTGCTTCCCTCCCTCCCTTCCTTGGGCAGCCATCTCCCCACAACTGGGAGCTGCCCTTTCCCCCCCATCTTGCCTCCCAAAAGTGGAGGAAGGTGTACTCTGCAGAAGTGTGGGGCGGGGTGTGCCCCCATTTTCTAAAAAAAATTATCACCTATGTGCACAACTATCTAATGGACAAAGTTCTACTCTTTCATTATTTTCAGAGAAGCTCTCAGACAAATATTTGCCCGCAATGATAGAGAGAGACTCTTCAAACACAAACAGTGATGTAGTTTGATAAGACTCCAAACCTCTCCAAAAAAATGTGCTCCACCTCAGCGTCATAGGACCAAACCTGGCAGCTGAATGAGGATCGTTATGTTATCCATGGTGTTTCAAAGCCAAGCCATCAAGGCAGTCAATTGTGGCATAGAAACAGTATGACATAGCGGTTAGGGGGTTGGACCTAGCAGATCAGGGTTCAAATCCCAAATCAGCTATTAAGCTCTGTGGGTGACTTTGCGTGAGGCAGGCAGTCACAGTGTCTCAACCTAATCTACCTGACATGGCTGTTGTGAGAATAAGATGGTAACCGGTGGGGGGATGGGGCCGTGAAACCATCTTGAGCCCCTTGGAGGAGAAAGGTGGGTTAATGTAAGGATAAAAATAAAGTCAGGTTAGATGTGAGGTCAGTGTGTGGAGAAGCAAACTTTGGGAAACAGGACGCTAGTTTGGATAAGTGGTCTGATCACCCTGGGTTCTCTTAATATGTTCTTATAAGCGAAGGACAGGTAAGCAGTACCTGGGCAGGTAGGAACTGACTGAACCACAGGGGGAAATCTATTTTTTTTTATTAGGAATGAGTGTGTGTAGGGGGGTCATCTTCCCACAAATTCTGTTCCACCTTCTAGAACTGATTCAAGCATGTCTTAGCCTCCCGTGAATGCTTGTATTATCTTTCCCTTTAATTTGTATTTCTTTAAATACAAATTAAAATTAACGTATGCTTTAAATCTATGTTTTGAGGAGGCGCTGATATGAGAATTGCAGATTAATATGGAAACAGAACAGAATTATGGGCAGAAAAATGCTAAGATGATGCCGACGGTGGAAACAAAGACAAAGATTCAGCCATCCTCAATTTTTGTGCTGTGTATAAGAAATTGACGATGAGTATAATAACTAGCTAAGGACGCAGGTGGCGCTGTGGGTTAAGCCACAGAGCCTAGGGCTTGCCGATCAGAAGTTCCGCGGTTCGAATCCCCGCGATGGGGTGAGCTCCCGTTGCTCAGTCCCTGCTCCTGCCCACCTAGAAGTTCGAAAGCACGTCAAAGTGCAAGTAGATAAATAGGTACCGCTATGGCGGGAAGGTAAACGGTGTTTCCGTGCGCTGCTCTGGTTCGCCAGAAGCGGCTTAGTCATGCTGGCCACATGACCCGGAAGCTGTATGCTGGCTCCCTCAGCCAGTAAAGCGAGATGAGCGCCGCAACCCCAGAGTCGTCCACGACTGGACCTAACGGTCAGGGGTCCCTTTACCTTTATATTAACTAGGTAGCCCTGCTTTCTTCTGGGTTAGTGTGCACAAAGGGTTGGTGAGCACAAAACTGGCTAAAGTGTGCCAATCATCATCATCATCATCATCATCATCATCCATCTGACTGGATTGCCCCAGCCACTCTGGGCTGCTCCCAACAGAATATTAAAAACACAATGAAACATCAAACATCAACAACCTTCCAAAATAATACAGTGGTACCTCGGGTTAAGTACTTAATTCATTCCGGAGGTCCGTTCTTAACCTGAACATGTTCTTAACCTGAAGCACCACTTTAGCTAATAGGGCCTCCCGCTGCTGCCGCACCGCCGTTGTGCGATTTCTGTTCTCATCCTGAAGCAAAGTTCTTAACCCAAGGTACTATTTCTGGGCTAGCAGAGTCTGTAACCTGAAGCGTATGTAACCTGAAGCATATGTAAGCCGAGGTACCACCGTAGAAAGCTTTCTAACCATTTGTATCACTGACGTTTCCATAGCATTCTTCTGTTCTGCACATATTCAGCTATGTTTTACTCAGAAGAAGACCCATTAGAAATAATGGACCTACCTTAGTCATGGGCATGCATTTCAGTGTGTATTCTCTGAGTAAAACATAGCTGAATGCCATCCATGACAATCAGGGTAGAAGTGCTTTCGTTCAGATAGCTACAGCTCTGTGCAAACAACGACAAAAAAGCACATCTAGTTCAGTGACCTCTGAAGCGTCAGGGCAAAGTCTCCCAAACTGCACCGCAAAACTGATCTCTGATTGATTAGCCCCCCCTTCTCATTTCATCACTGTTTCCCTGTCAACAACAGTGAGATTAGGAGAGACAGAAGAGATACAAACAGAGAGAGCCTCGTTTGCTCTTGCAAAATCCTTCTGTGTCAGGGCATGTTTGCCTCATAATTTGGGTGAGTGGAATGCTTGTCCCAGAACACTCCCTGTGTGTCTGCATGGCAATGGTGGGGAGTACAAGGGAGCTCACCTGCGTGGCGTTCTGAGTTGCCTCTGCGTGCTCTAGGTCAGGGCTGGATTTAGGTTTGATGAAGCCCTAAGCTACTGAAGGTAATGGGACCCTTTATATGTCCAGCTGCCCTTTGTCAACAACAGATTGTCGCTGTTTTCTTTGTGTTGAATATATGCTATATGGTCATTTATGGACCTAATAGGTATCTAAAGCCAATTTCACATAACAAAATACGTATTTTATCAAGGTAATTGTTGAACTGAAATACAATTTATTAAGAAGTATATTAATAGTGAAATACAGTTAAGAAGAAGGATATTAATAGTGAAATAATTGTTAAGCTCTAACTTAAAAAGATTTTTTATTCATAACTAACTTAATAATGCAAACACACTGGCATTTGGCAATAACAAAAGTTCCTTTAGAAACACAATTTACAAAGCCTCATAAGCTAGTCTCTAGAAACTTGCTGTAACATGAAATAATAGGTGTTATTATATGATGCAAACTACTAATAATTATAAATAGCTGAATGTAGGCATGCTATATATAGAAATGAGCAAACCAATGATATTTTAGGGAGCAGGCTAGCAGGCGGGGCCCATTACTTACATCATAGGAGCCTACAGAACACCAAACACTGTTGCTGTATGGAGGTTTTATTTTATTTGTTTTTATCTTATATTCTGGAAATGTGTATCCAGTTTTTTTCCTTTACATTTTTTGGGGGGGGGCCAAGAGAGTGGGGCCCTAAGCTATAGCTTGTTTAGCTTATATGTAAATCCGGCACTGCTCTAGGTTCAGACATAGCTGAATGGCAAGAGAAGAGACTAGATCAGCTGTGCTCCAACCCAGCAGATGACTTTGAACTTGGACTCCTATTAACCCCACCCAGCATGGCCAGTCGTCAAGGGTGACGGGAGCTGTAGTTCAGAAGTATCTGGAGGGTAACTGGCTGGGGAAGGCTGGACTTGATTCATGGAAATAGAAGAAGCCCCCTCCCCGCCCCAGAAATAAAATAAAATCCAGCTTGAAGGACCATCTTCCCATGTCTCCTCCACCACCAGGGCTTCTGAAAATCACCCCCCCCCCCCCCGAAGCATCTCATAGCTCAGTTAGTAGAGCATGGGACTCTTAATCTCAAGGTCATGGGTTCAAGCCCCATGTTGGGCAAAAGATCCCTGCACTGCAGGGAGTTGGTCTAGATCAAGGGTAGGATCCGGCCCAATCGCCTTCTTAATCTGGCCCGCAGACAGTCCAGGAATCAGCATGTTCTTACGTGAGTAGAATGTGTCCTTTTATTTAAAATGCATCTCTGGGTTATTTGTGGGGCATAGGAATTTGTTCATTCTCCCCCCGAAAAATATAGTCCAGCCCTCCACAAGGTCTGAGGGACAGTGGACCGCCCCCCTGCTGAAAAAGTTTGCTGATACCTGGACTCTATATGACCCTTGTGGTTCTATGATTCTATAGCCTCTCTGACCCCAAGTCTGCACCAATCCTTTGGTCCAGAGGAGATTCCTGGATGTAGGAATCCTGGAGGCAGACAAGGAGTTGTGATTCAAGGACCCACCACCTGCTTGAGAATAAGAAAGACACGTGGACATGGTATATTAGGTTGATGGACTAAAAAAGGCCAACTTTATTGATTACAGCATGTGAGAGGTGTTGGCTTAGCATTGGATAAAACAACAGAGCGTGACTCCACCCCCTCAGGGAGGGGTGAGTCTATCAAGGGTTAACCACCAGTGGCAGGAGCCTGTTGATGCAAATACAACTGAAAGCTCCCCCTGATGTCACCGGGAGTCATGCCATGGCCCTAGCCACCAGCAAGGGCGTTGGACAGGATCCACGACCGCCGGATTCCTTTACCGGAATACCCATAAAGAGGAGGGATAGGCAATGGCCACACCCTGCCCTCCAATCCACAAACATATTCCAATGCCTAACCGCCACCCGAGCCCAAAGAGGTTCGTTGCCAATAGCCTCACAGCTGCAACCAATCCCTAAGGCTTCTGATGATGTCGGCCAGCCAAATATCATTGTCGAGATTTGAAAGGTGAATGCCGTCATCACGAAATAAAGAACATTCGCTGAACCAGATGTCAGCATGCAGGATCACATAGCCATTCATATAGCGGTTTAAGAGCTTCCTGGATTTTTCAATGGCCATAGGGCTATGGGAGCCACGTCAAACCCTTCTCTTCAGAAGGTTGGACCGAAACAACATTGTCCCGGGAAAAAGAGCAGCCAGTTTGTCAAAATCCTTTTTTATGTTCCCTAGCAAGTCCACGCTCTTCCTGAAAGCCAAATCATTCAAAATAACACCTCTGACTCCACATGGGGAAGTGCCATTAGAAGGCAAAGGAGCAGTTTGTCTTGAGCTGCATCTTCTCAACCATGTTGAGATTAGAGTGTCAGACCTGGGAGACCACAGTTCAAATCTGCACTCGGCCATGAAGCTCACCTGGGTGACCTTGGGCCTCTCAGCCTGACCTACCTCATAGGGTTCTTGTGTAGATTAAATCAGGAAGGGGAGAATCATGTGCAGCACTTCAAGCCTCTGCAGCACTTCAAGCTGATAAATGTGATAGATGATAGATATAGATAGATAGATAGATGATAGATAGATAGATAGATAGATAGATAGATAGATAGATAGATGATAGATATAGATTAGATAGATAGATAGATAGATAGATAGATAGATAGATGGTGGGGCATTGAATACAGGGGGGATCTGCCAATATTCAGTTGGGATTGTGGGGTGGAAGAATTGCCACAGGGTCCTATCCTCCCTGGGACTTTGTACCCCTCCTTCCAGATGGCCCATGCTTTAAATGTGACCTCTCCCAGCCCTCCGCCAAACCGCAGACTTGCACAGCCGAGGACCAGAAACAAAATTAACTCCGCCAGATAAGATTCCGAAGGGCTTTCTCTGCCAACGTTCCCCTCCAATCAGAAGCTGTAGCCATCATCTCCAGCCTTGCAACTTCAAGGCCAGGCTGCTTTCTGTAACATGACTAGTCTTAAAACGGGAAATAAAGAATGCATGCAGTACCCCTGAGCATGCACAGAACACCTTCCCCTCCAAAACACCCTCCAAATCATCAAAATCAGCTACCACCCAAGTCCGTCACCTATCATCAGGATGGGTGATAGGTTGAATTCCTTCATTTCAGAACACTCTCTCTCTCTCTCTCTCTCTCTCTCTCTCTCTCTCTCTCTCTTTCTCCCTGTGTGTAAAACTACAGCATTTATTTTCAAATTTGCTGTAATTGGCTGAGTCGAGTTTCTATAATGGCTGTTGAAGACTGATTCAATCACACACTAATACATTCCTCCAGGATATTTCAGCTTATGTCACCCAATGCTGCAATCTGACTCTGAAAAAGCATTTTTGCAGAGATTAGTAGATATTCAAAGAAATTCCCTCTGGCTGGCATTTGATCTGTGCATTGTCCTTACTGCGTCAACTATTGTTTAGTGCTGAAACCCAGAAAGAGAATGAGGAAGTTTAGATGTATAAACTATCTGGTGTTTCCACACCTACCAAGGATGAAAAGTCAACATCAATCCCCTTAGCATTATTTATTTTATTATATTTATTACATTAGTTGGTCACTTTATCCCAAAGCAACTTACAATCAACATAAATCATTTGTTGGCTGCAGTTTATGGTGTGGGCTTTCTGCCAGGTTCTTTTGAACCTGCTCCCCTGTAAAGTAATTTTGGTGTTGATTGCCCTGTTTGGGGGGGGGGGGATGTATTGCCATTTCTTAACTCTAGTAACAAACTTAGGATCTCCAGTAATAACTGATCAGTATTAGCTGAAACGGGACGCAGGTGGAGCTGTGGGTTAAACCCCGACGTGCCAGATCCCTTACGCAGCCAAACCTCATACTTCACCCGACTGGAAAAGTCTCAGCGCGCTACTTCGTGAGTATGGGAGGGGACTTGACTAAGCTCCAGAAAGAGCATGCTAAAGAGTTGCTTTATTTAGTTAGACAGCGGGAGGTGGGTGTTAATATTTCCTTAAAAGAAATTGAACAATTGCTATGTGAGATAAATTGCCAATGCATTTTTATCCAGAGGCTGGATCTTTGGACGTAGAGACTTGGCAAAAGATCGGAAAGACCCTTTTTGCAGAACCTAGGGCTCCGATTCATTGTCTGCTCACTTGGCAGAAATGTGCTGATGCCGTTGCTAAATTACCACAGGCGTCTCGCTCGCCACCAGCACTTTTCGCCATCGCAGACAATCCCCCCCCTTACCCGAAACTTTTACCTCCTTCTCCTTTGCAGCCCAGCCAATCCCTCCCTGCGTCTCACCCTCCTCAACCTGCATCCTCCCCCCCCCATCCCTCCGCCTCAGCCTGATTCCTCCCCCATCCCTCCTCCTCCTGCCACAGCCCCTGTTTGCTCTATAGGAGCTGTGCGTGCTGCGCTCTCTCTGGCAAGGCAAAAAGGGCTCCTGTCCTTAGAGGAGGAGTCTGAGTGGCCAGGTGAAATGCCGTCTGCTTTCCCTATCTCTTATTCAAACCCTGGATCTGCTCAACAGCAGATTTATTATGAATCGCTTCCTTATTCTGTAATGAGGGAATTAAGGAAAGCCATTGCTGATTCTGGTCTGAAATCCTCTTATGTGACAGGGATGCTAGAGGGCATTGCAACTGGTTACATTATGCTACCTCAGGACTGGAAAGACCTTATGCGCATGCTTTTGTCCCCTGCTCAGTATGTGGTGTTTGAGAGTGAATTTAAACATAGCGCTTCAGCCCTGTCTGATCCTCAACATACTGCCAATGAACTTTATGGTGCTGGTCAGTTTGCTGATATAACTGCCCAAGCAACACTGACACCTGTACATTTTGTTCGCACCGCGACCTGTGTACAACGCGCCTTTCGGAAAGTCCCTGTTTCTGGGCAACCGCTGAGCTCCTTTGTGAATATTAAGCAACAGCATTCGGAGCCATACCACCAGTTTATAGATAGATTGAAAGAATCAGTCACTAGGCAGATTGATAACACCACTGCTCAAAATGAATTGATGAAGAAATTGGCCTTTGAAAACGCAAACACTGATTGCAAGAAAGCTTTGCAGTCAATCATACATCGCCCTAAATATGAACTGGCCGATATGATTCAAGCTTGTGCGGATGTCGGTAGCCAGAGCCATGCGATGTCCTTGCTTGCCGGCGCAATCCAAGCAACCACTAAGCCTACTGGTAACTGCTTTAATTGCAAGCGCCCAGGCCATTTTGCCAAGCAATGCAGAGCCCCAGGCGGGGGCACACAAGGATGGTTCTACCTCTAAAGCTAGACCTTCAAAAATGCCCGAAATGTGGCAAAGGCTATCATTGGGCTAATCAATGCAGGAGTTCGGGAAACTCCATTGCGGCCCCACTCTCGGGCCAGGAAAATTAGAGAGCTTTCCGCCTTTAATTTCTGCTGCTGCAAACTTTTCAAAGAACACACCCTCTGAATTTGCAATTGATTTGATCAATCAAGAGACCAAAGATTCTGTTCTACCTGGTGAAATTGTGCTCATGCCCACTCAATTGGCAGGTCCCCTGCCTCCTAAGGTCGCAGGTTTAATTTTACCCAAATTTTCTGCGGCAAAGGAAGGCATCCAGGTTATTCCTGGAGTTCTGGATCCTGACTATGTAGGCACAATAATGGTTCAACTCTGGAGCCATATGCCCATGCAATTAAAAAAGGGTGAGTCTTGGGCGCATTTGGTGGTGCTCCCTTCTCATCCTACTGCTTCTATTATGGATACTAATTTGCACGAGCTCTCTTCTTTCCCTCCACAGCTGTTAGCTGTAGTCCAGAGGATTGGTGAGAAGAAACTTCTTCGTAAGTATAAAATCAATGGTATTGTGCTGGAAGGCTTGATTGACACAGGCGCAGACGTTTCTGTAATTTCTAGTAGTTGCTGGGACCCCACGTGGCCCCTTGAGTCTGCCTCTGCTGTCTGGGGTGTGGGTGGCCCCAAACCTCTTCCAAAAGCGTACGGTGGCTGCCTGTGTCTCTGCCTGATAGCTCTGAAACCATTGCTTACATCCAGCCCTGTGTGCTGAAAATCCACCTCAATCTGTGGGGAAGAGACTTGCTACAGCAATTACAAGCTACCATTCAATTTAATGAGTAAGCTTGCACTTCCCCTCAGCTGGAAATCTACCACTCCTGTATGGGTGGAACAATGGCCCATAACAGGAGAAAAGCTACTTGCTTTAAAGCAATTAGTGAATGAACAATTATCGGCAGATCATATTGAGCCTTCTGTTAGCCCCTATAATACACCCATCTTCGTCATAAAAAAGAAGAGTGGCAAATGGAGATTTCTCCAGGATTTAAGGAAAATAAACCAAATCCTTGAACCCATGGGGCCTTTACAATGTGGTCTGCCAAATCCAAATTTAATCCCACATTCTTATCAATTGGCTATAATAGATTTGCAAGACTGCTTTTTCTCCATTCCCCTACAATTCTCAAGGCCAAGCCATCGTCGAAAGGGCTAATCGTACCGTAACAACTGCTCACCAACGCCAGGAAAAGAAGGCCGGTGTCCCAGCCTCCCTTTCCGAAAAGGAAGGCTGGCTGGCCAGTGTTCTCTTTACTCTCAACCATTTGAATGTTTCCATACAGGATCATCAATCTTATACTCGCCTGCAGAAGCATTTTCAGCAAACAGAGATACTCCCAGCCCCACTGGTCCGCTATAAGATATTACCCTCCAACGAGTGGAGTGAACCTGTAAAACTGATCACCTGGGGAAAGGGTTACGCTGCAGTGTCTACTCCACAGGGTCCTCGCTGGGTTCCCGCACGCTGCATCCGCCTATACCATGGCATGGCGACAGTCCCTTCCGAATCCAGTACCGCAGTTCGACCACACACTACGGATCGCCCAGGCCGCAGCGCCCAGCCCCCCCAGGACTCGCAAGCGGGGGAAATCGTAATGGACCTGTGACTTGGGGCCAAATAAAATCACTCTCATGTCAGGCTGAACAGCTTAGAAAGGAAAAGCAGCTTGAAGCAACCCCTGAGAATTTGCTTCTGTGTGTTATTTCCTGCCTTAACATTAATTCCATGACAGTGCTCATTCTCATTGCTTTGTTTTTGCCTCTTTCTGCTTCCACTCCTACTAGTGACACCCACGCACCTACAAATGTGTGGGAATCTTTTGCAAAGACACTCAATATTTCTTCCTTTTGCCTTACCCAACAGGTATCTATAGGGGAGATTCTTGGCTCCTGCCTTATCCCTGTTTGCCATGACCCTTTTGATATACAAAATGATACCTGGTTTTTCTCATCCCTACCCACAAATGATTCTCTCCGCACCCTTGGTTATTCCGGTTATTATGTCTGGGGTAACCAAGTGCGCCGCCGCCCATCTTTGGCCATTGATTTATCGACCCCATACGTGGCTTCCTTTAATGTCACTTGCGCCCGTATGGTGAATTGCACAAAAGCCAACTGCGTGAAAATGGGCACTGATAATTTCCACTGCTCTGATTATGTAAATATTTCCTATCTGTATAAATACACAGAACTACCTGCGGGTTGGTTCTGGTCGTGTCCTGGCTATACATTTAATTACATTCCTGCAAACATCAGCCATGGAACACCCTGTTGTTTAAGCCGTTTGTCTATTGTATTACCCAAAAGCATCATTTGACCCCTTCTCGACATCGCCGCTCTATTGAATTAACTAATGATTGTGATGATTCAATTTCTCTTCCCAGTAGATCTGAATATATCTCCTTAGCTGTCTCTCTCTTAGGAGTTCCTGGATTGGCTGTACGCAATAGTAGAAATATTAATTCTCTAGCTTGTTCTGCAGCAAAAGCGCTGAACTATACTTCTCAAGCCCTTCACCTTCTGGAATAAAGAGCAAAGTGAACTCCAGCATGGGCTTTTACAGAACCGCGCCGCGATAGATTACTTGCTGATGCTTCATCATTATGGCTGTGAACAAGTGAATGACATGTGCTGTTTCAATATTACTGACAACTCTAGAGCCATTCAAAGTCAAATCTCTCATTTGCAAAATCTTACACATCACATTAAACAGGACGTTGGATTTTCTGGCCTCTGGGATTCTTTCACCCAGTGGCTTACTGCTTGGTTGCCTAACCTTACTTGGCTTCGTAGTCTCTTTCAATATGCTATTTTCATAATTTCTATTTTTATTTTACTATGCTGTTTCCTCCAATGCGTTCCCAGCCTCATGAGTCTTTTCTCTCGGCTTCTCTCCCCTCCACCACCCAGCAAACTGCTTGCTGCTTACATTGCGAAATGGCAACACCAACAGTGAACCTTAGGGGAGATGTGGGCGGATTTATTTTGGGCATGCGCTGGCAAACCACGTATCCTGAAGTACTTTTGTCCCACCAACCCTGGCAGGCTTATTTCGGGCATTCGCTGGCACACCACTAATCCCGAAGTATTTTTGCCTTATCCACCTGGAATGCCTCGCAAACAAGAAAAGAAAGGGGGAGATGAAGGGAAGTTCTCTTTCTGCAGTTCTCTTACTGCACATAACTGTGGCATTATGGGAACTCTTACTATGCAATCTTTCTATGCTTACTATGAAAACTCTTGCTTCTTTCCTCTTGGATTCTGGGAAGTCTCCTTCTGCTCTGCACATACTGTTCCAAACACACCAAGCTCAGGACACCCAGACAATCCCTCAATTCTTCAGTTCATTCTGAGTTCACAACATGCTCTGTTCTCAATGCATAGCTGACCACATATACGGACCTTTCACTTATGATCAATCATTAGTAATTGTTTTAGTCATGTTATATTAATCTTAGTTACAATTTAATTAGGAGGATTCATGCCTGTCTAGTTCCAGCTCCGCTCCCAGTCTTTTGAACTATCACTGATTAATGTAAAAATGTAATGCCCGCCTTGTACCTATGTTAACCAATCAGCAACAAGATGCTTTGTGTTTGTATCAGCCAATCAGCCACAAGCACACCTGTGGCAATGTTTGTAATATTCAATAAAAGAGAGTCCCCGGGACTTGCCCCGGGCAGACGCCTCTCCTTTGACACCCACCATTCGTCTGTCGTGATT